ATAAATTATAGAAATGACATTGCCACACACTTCCCCCCTTCGACAAATGACGTCCTCGTCATCATAGCTTTCCTGTTACCAGATTCACAAGAGCTTCTGATGCCTGGTCACATCTGCTTGCTACGACTCCTGTGGCTATGAACGAACTAAGGTAATCTGCTCTTGATTTCCAGTCTGGCTTTGGTGTTGTGTCGTCGCCATCACATACTTCCCACTCGTCTGCCAGTGCGGTTTCATCCTTTCTCTCTGTGACCTCCTAAGTTGTGGGGTAGGTAGCATCCTCCTCCTAGGTGTGTCGTCAGGTGTGGTCACTGTTGGTGGTGGTTCAGGAGTGTCTGCTTCAGTCTGCACATCCTCTTGTGCAGAAGCATCTACATCCTCCAGCAACAAGTCGACAGGTGGTATGGGCGGTCCAGGAGCTTCGGCTTCAATCTGCACATCCTCTTGTACAGAAAAGAATCGACTTCTTCTTGCAACAAGTCGACAGGTAGTATGGGCGGTCCAGGAGCTTCGGTTTCAATCTGCACATTCTCCTGTGCAGAAACCACGACATCACCTGGAGTACCCACAGTCACATCCACGTCATCTCTGGCTCTCTGTAGGTCATCTAACCTGTGATCCTCAATCAGAGCGACGTCTGTAACAACTTCAGTTTCACCCTCAGGTGGCCCATCAGCTGGTACACCAGCTGAAACTGAGGGTTCTGATGAGGTCACGGGCCCAATACAAATATCATCATCTGAATCTTCCTCTTGATCCTGGCACAAGTTCTCCGTAACATCCTGAGTTGATAATCCGGATGGAGCACTTGATGTCTTGTATTTCTGATAGGGTCTTTCAGTAGGGACAGGTGCCTTTTGAACTGGTAGTGGCAGACATCCTATGGGGAGCAGTAGATTCCTGTGGAGAGTCCTCCGTTTCCCATCATCTCTTTCCTTTCTTACCACAAACACAGGTATCGCAGGATCAGGCTGTTTGAGAATTACGTAAACATTCTCCTCCCATTTATCTGCGATCTTGTGTTTCCCATCAAAAGCGACGATCTTTACAAGCACTCTGTCTCCAACGTCCAACATGGCAGCTCTAGCTTTGGCGTCATAGTTAGTCTTCTGTCTTGTTTGGGATTTGTCAGCAGCTTCAGCAGCAAGTTCGTACGCATGTTTCAGTCGGTCTCTCAGGGACTTAGTATATTCCGACAGGGACTTGGCCTTGCTTGGGTCGATCTCCAGTCCAAAAGCTAGGTCAACAGGAAGTCTTGGATGTCTACCGTACATGAGGAAGAATGGTGAGTATCCAGTCGTCTCATGTCTTGTAGAGTTGTATGCATGTACAAGAGGACCTACATGGCTCTTCCAGTCCTTCTTCCCAATAGCATCCAAGGTTCCAAGCATATTAAGTAGAGTCCTGTTGAAACGTTCACATTGACCCTTACCCATAGCATGGTAAGGAGTAGTTCTCGACTTGTCGATCTGTGTGAGACTGCACAACTCCTTCATAAGCTTTCCCTAAAAGTTCGCTCCTTGGTCCGAGTTGATCCTCTTAGGTAGTCCATAGTTAACCACAAAGTTCTTGAAGAATACTTCGGCTGTTGTCCGAGCAATCATATTCTTAGTGGGATAAGACTGGGCGTAGCGGGTGAAATAATCTGTGATAACTAGTATACACTATTGTCCTCCCTTGCATGGTTCCAATGTCAGAAAATCCATACAGACTAACTCCAAGGGCTGGGTGGTCTTGATACTTACTAAAGGTGCTTTCACTGTTGTGCCGCTCTTCCTCCTAATGCATCTTTCACACTGGCTGACATAGTTCTCTATGTCCTTAGTCATTTCAGGCCAGAAGAAGCGATCCCGATTAAGAGAATTAGTTCTATCACATCCGGGATGTCCAACTTTGTCATGGAGGCAGCGCAGGACTGATTGGCGACATCTACTTGGCAGAACAAGTTGCTCGCAGGTTTCACCATCCACTGATATAACTCGGTAAAGGACTCCTCTTTGATGTTTGAAGCTTGAAATGTTCTTATTGAGACCACTCATCTCAGGATCTGCTCGACAATCACTTGGTCTTGGCTTAGTTCCATTCCTCAGATGGGCCATAACAGTATCCAAGGCTGGGTCTCTGGCTTGGGCTCTTCTCCAGTCTCGGGCATTGGCATCACACTTCTCATCACTTATTTCTACTTCCTGCTCCTGAATAATGGCTGATGAAACAGATACACCCTCCACGAGACTAAGGGTAGATGTCATGTTGCAGATAGCATTGATGGAATGTGATGAAATCTGTCTCATAGTCGACTGATCCTCGGGTGTTGGAAGTCGTGACAACGCATCAGCATCAGCATTGTACTTCCCAGGCTGGTATGATATCGTGAAGTTATAGGCTGAGAGTGCTGCCAACCATCTATGCCCTGTTGCGTCCAACTTCGCACTGGTGAGCACATATGTCAGAGGATTGTTGTCTGTTAGCACTGTGAAGTCATGTCCGTAAAGATAGTCATGAAACTTTTCCGTGACGGCCCATTTCAAACACAAAAATTCCAATTTGTGAGCAGAGTAATTTCTTTCAGACTTGTTTAGGCTCCTACTGGCATATGCAATAACTTGCTGATGTCCTTCATGCGTCTGATATAACACGGCACCAAGACCTCGTGTGCTGGCATCTGTATGCAATTCGAAAGGCTGGGAACAGTTTGCATATCCTAGAACAGGTGGTGATGTTAATCTGTTCTTCAAGTCCCTGAAAGCCTTTTCCTGGTTGGGTCCCCAAATCCACTGTACAGTCATCTGATCCTGTCGTGATCGATGTTTCTTGCCTTTCGTCTTAGGCATCAGCTCTGAGAGGGGTTTCACAATCTTGGAGAAGTCCTGTACAAATTTTCTATAATATCCGGCGAAGCCAAGGAACTTTCTAACTTCTTCAGAACTTGTCGGTGTAGGCCAGTCTCTAATCTTGTTGATCTTCTCCGGGTCTGCTTCGATTCCATTTTTAGAAACGATGTAACCAACATACTTGACTTTATTCTTGAAGAACTTGCATTTCTTGGGTGACAATTTCAAGCCGCATTCCCTGAGACGTTGAAACACAAGCTCCAGGCGTTCAAGATGTTCTTCATAGGTCTTGGAGAAGATTATGAGGTCGTCAATATAAACAAGACATATCTTGAGATGTAATCCTGACAGGCAGTTTTCCATCAATCTCTGGTAGGTGGCTGGCACATTACATAAGCCGAACGGCATTCGATTAAACTCATAAAAACCTAGTGGTCCAACGGTGAATGCTGTTCGTTGTTTGTGTTCTTCTTTGAGTTCAACTTGATGGTAACCGGACTTCATGTCAAGGACAGAGAAATATTTCATGCCGCCGAGACAATCCAACATCTCTTCAACTCGAGGAAGCGCATACGAGTCCTTCAATGAACGATTATTCAGCTGGCGATAATCCACCACATCCTTAGTTTTCCATCAGACTTGCGCACAAGAACAACGTTGGATGACCATGGGCTATGTGATTCACTTATCACTCCAGATGACAACAGTTGTTGAAGGTGGCTATGAACTTCATACATGGCAGGAGGTATTCTTCTATGGCGTTGCTTAAATGGAATGTCGTTGGTCAAGTGGATGCGATGTCTTACAGCAGAACTGTGTCCCAAGTCATCATCTCCCTTGGAAAAATATGTCCTTGAACTTGAGGATGACTCCAAGTCCTAAGTCCAGTTCCTCTTGAGATATGCTCTTCTGCTCTATATCAACTTGTTCAAGCAAGCGCTTCTCATCTTCTGACTCCAATGGCATCAGTCCTTTAAACATGATGGGTTGAAGCTCGCATAGCAGTGCTCTTGGTCGTACAACAACTGTCTGGGTAGTGACGTTGGCTACGTGCACATAAACTTCGCTAGGGTGCTCAAAGTTGAAGTCTACGATGGAGGGAGCAATGTCAAGGTCACTTGGAATCGCAGCGTTGTCAGTCGGTTGGATCAGTGCACATACTTTAGGAAAGTTCACATTCTTCACTACATTGCCTCTGATGACTACTTGACTGTTGGCAACACCATACTGTGGAAAGCCAAGTACCAGGGTGTATGCAGTGCAGCCTTCTGTAGAAACTGGACACAATGTGTGTTCTTGCATCCTTCCAGTAGGTGGCATAAGATGTTGGTCCCAAGTAACGCAGGCACTTTAGAATTAAACTGGGTGTCTGTCGATACAAGAAACAAACAAGAAACCAGTTTGGCTGATGCTATCCCAGATGTTTCCAACTTGACATCCACATATCCTGTATAAGGTAGCGACTCTCCTCCAGCACATTCGATGTTCAAAATGTTATCAAGTAGCTCCAAAGGTACATGCTTTAAGTAGGAATCATAGAAGGTCTGTGATAATATAGACACTGTAGCTCCTGTGTCTAGAAGTGCTCTTGCCTTTACCCCTTCAATATGAATGTCCACTTCATTAACGTTACCCACAAGTCCATCGGGGATTCCTTTTTCCCTATCTCTGGGGCGCTTGTAAAAACCTACAGGCGGCCCCTGCCCATAGGCCTGCGCGAGTTTAAAGCACTTCCACATCTAGAATGGTCCAGTCTAACTGTGCATGTGTGTTGAGTATGTCCAGCCAGTCCACATCTCCAACAGGTGGGCCCCATTACCCTCTGTGGTCTGTACTCCATGTCTTGAGCTTGTCCATATGAGGCTTGGCAACCACCTGATCCTTCATTCCATGGTGGCCTATAGGAATCGTAGCTAGCGTGGCCTTGATCCTCTCTCGACTGCTGTCTGTTTCAGTTAGGGGGTCCACTTGATGGCATTGACCTCTGATCCGGGGCAGGATAAGGAAACTCTTGCTCTGTTGCACTTGTTAATCTCATCCCAGCAACTTCAGAAGTAAGCTTGTTGATCATAGCTTTCATTTCCTTAATCTCCTTCTTCCACCCAGGCTCCTGTGCAGTGGCACTCTTTGCTGTTCCTGGTGTCTTTGTCTTAGCAGATGGGACTGTGCTCAACTGATCTCTATCTCCCGGAGAGCTTCTAACAGGTCATCAAAGTTATTGATGGTATCAAACTTGTGTCCTGAGATGTTCTTGAGGTCTGACTTGAGTCCTGTCCAAAGCATACTCCTAAGCATCTCATCAGAATCCTCATTGCTGGTCGGCTTATCCTTTAGGGCACGGGAAAGAAGTTCCTCCAAACGACAAGCCCACTGTGACACATCCTCCTCTTCCTTCTGTCTAGCGCTATAAAACTGTGCCATCCTTAATTCCCTCCCCTCGACTACTCCAAAAACAATACTGAGCTTCCTTAGCAGGGATGAAATACTGGTCCCAGGCCTCATGTTGACGGCGATCGTAGCAGCCTCTCCCTTCAAGGAATCCTTGATTGCCTGTTCCTTAATATCCTGTGTATAAGATGAAGATTCCAAAAGCCCATCAACACGATACCTCCAGACGTCATAAGGTGTTTCCTTCCCAGTCCTGTCTCCACTGAATGGGGGAATTCTAGGAAACCTATGATGATTCATAGCACTAGCCTGAGCTCCATTTCCTGTGTCAGAAGAGTTTGATTTCTGTTCCACAACTGGTTTAACCTCAGTCTTAACTGACAATACATCCTGTAGCCAAGATTGGAAATCCTCAGGAGAATTAGCCTTGGGTTTCTCCTTTCCACGCTTAAATGCTTCCAGAATATTGTCAATTTCCGTCTGAGAAAACTCAATGATTTACCGAAGAGTGAGCACAGAATATAATAATCAAAGAATTCCAAAATCACAAACTCATACAATGCAAGTAGAACTCACAAATTCCAAGAAATCGCACAAGATGTCAAGAAACCAAGCAACCCCACCTGATCAAACCTAGTCCAAGTTCAAACTACAACACACAAACAATACCAAACCAATGAAAAGAGTCCAGTACTCCCACTCAGTGAGGGTGATACATCTCACTGAGGATCAATGACAAACACAAACTGTTCCATAATGAACTTCACAATATAACAGAACACTTCAGATTTATAAACTCATCTGCTGAAAATTGAAAAACAAATATGGTCAATAAAGAACTTCACTTACGAAAGGTTCCACTGAGTAAATAAAAAAAATAGATATATGGTTACATGGTGCAACGTGCATATACTGAGTGCGGCTAAGGTAATCAGTCAAGTCTGTCAGTCAGAAAGAGAGACAACACAAGCCACTTATACCTACATAATTACAGAAAGTTTAACACCTTATTATAGATAAGCTTAAACCTACTCACTTTTATTACACAGTCACACAAACTCACTTCAACCAAACACGCATTGCAAGGTAATATAACTAAGTAAAGTAACTAAGGCATGACAGATAGGTAATATGGTGATCACCAACTAGTAGGGTACCCTTAATGACAAAGGTAACTAATGTAACTAAAGTAACTAACTAAAGTAACTAAATAAAGTAACTAACAAAACTCTAAACTAACTAAACTCTAAACATCAATATCTATTTCACAAGTGAAAAACTAATAGCTGCATTCAATCACATCTTAATTATGAACACAACTAAGAAATGGTTAAGTTTAATTTACAAAACACAAATACTTATAGTTGATGAAATAGTATCACATCTTGTCTAACAATGACAAGATAATCCAATATATCAAATTTAAATTACATATTATCAGACAAATTTAGCACAATATGATTACCTTATGGGTATATAATTTGTGAATTTACAAATACATAAGTAGCAAGTTACACTGCTCCATGACAAATACGCAATTAATATATATAAACTGTGATCACATGATCACGAGAAAGATAGAACAAAGCGATCCAAAGACACTGAAAGCTGACGTGCAATGTCAGACGCGTACGCGGCCAAGATTACATAGTGTCACAGTAAATTACAAGTAGAGCTCTACTATATACTACTAACACGTATGCGAGTACAGCTGATATCTCACTGATGTGGCACCTCACTCTCCTCTTTCGTCAGTTTTCCTCACCGGGGGCTCCATTTTGTAGCAGGTTAGGGTGGTGCAAATATCACAGTTAAGACCAACGCCTGCTGGGCGTGAGTTGCGACCAAAAAGCCACAAGTTTATTTTCCATTCCAATATTCACCATGGAACATAATTGAACAAATAATAAATAAATAATTATACTCATTAAAACATTGCACTTATCACCGTTATTTATATAATAATTAAAACGCATTCACATTATATGATGTTTTCCATATTACTTCAACTGTATCAATGCACTTTTATATACAAGATGTATATTATACATACATGAAATATAAACGATGAATAACTAAATTATTATGCCTACTGAATGTATGGCACTCAGGTGATAGTAGGCCAAATCACTCGTCACTCAGATCCATCTATAAATAACATACACATGTCATTCTAACTTTAATATAAATATCATAGAATAATGTACATAGTAATCTACTGCCATATTAATTCAATCTGAACCTACTACCAACATTATCTCAAATAGAATGTCACAGATAAACCTACATAAATATACACATTACCTATGCTGTAATATGCTCATAATTATACACAACACACATTTCTCATGGCAAACAATATGGCGGACACAAATACTTATATCTGTCGCCTTTATCATAAAAACATATTATAGTACATTACATCAGAGAATCATAAACATGAATGGTGTGTTTATTATCGTTACTTTACTTATGACATAAATTACATTCATACACTCAAATCACACAAGTATATCTACACTAAAATAATGTTTACATTTAAATGCTGTACTAAAACAAATATTACATCCTACATAATGTTTATAATCTAGTATTAAAACTAACCTTTGGAGATTTATAGTGAAGATGAAGCCGTGAAAGTCCTTGGCACAATACGTGTCAAAATATGAGTCTCATGTCGTGACTGTCCAGAGAGAGCTGTATATAGTAGACTGACTCAGTGCTTGTGTTAGTAAACAAGCTTGCCCTCTAAAAGCAAGACAAAAGAATACTCTCGCCCCTGACAATAAACAAAAGAACTTACCAGCCCAAGTTCAGCTTGGAGCAATCAGGCTGGAAACTTGTACCGTACATGATCTAATAAAATACACCAATTACACTGTCTAAAACCAATACCATATATATACAGATAAATTATAGAAATGACACTGCCACATGGGTATCGATCAATGCAATTGTGATACGATGACATGCATCAACCGAGTCAGCGAACCTGACCACCCGATCCCGTAAGCATATGAGTACTTCACATTGACACTTTAAAGTAAATCAATATGATCAGCAATTATAGTACATAACACAGGCGGTAATTATCTTATATATGACAATAACACGCTAGATGGAGTTCCCGGTCGAAACCAAAATTTTGACATATAAAGTTCTTATACATTCCAAAGTGAACACGACTATGGAATTGGCGGCCATCTTGGAGGCCATTTTGTCCGCCATATTGGATAAATCAAATTTCTCAAGCTCATATATGTAAGATACTTAAACGATTCATGTGTTCAAATAAACACATTGGTGTACAAGAATGTTAGTGTTGTCATAGTTATTTTTAAACTATGTTATTATTTGTTGTTTCCTTCACAGGATGGGGGTCCGGATCACATTTACTAAATGTTATATTGTATATATGGATATCATTGTAAGTTCCTTAAGCATTCAGGCAGATTTTGAGATATCACACGACACGGTTGTCAATATGGAAGTAACATTACCTTGAGTTTAGGAATATTTTGAAAATGAAAATTGAATAATTTGTTCCTGTTTTTGACACATTTTGGCCCATAACTCGACTTTGATAATTTTGCTAATTCTTCTTTTGTAGGTTTCCTAAGTCAGCACACTGATTTTGTTTATAAAATGAGCATTGCAAAATACAGACTGACTTCTTTAGACACAAATATGCAATTTACCACAATAATACATGTCTGCCACCAAAAGAAATCACCACAACAATCGTTTTCTAATGCATGAATGACATCTTGTGAAGAAAAATATGATTGTGCTTTGTTCTTCTGTGATGAGGGGTTATTCATTAAATCAGCCTCGCTTTAAGGGTTGGCCGCTACTCTATTTGTAAGCCACCCTTCTCGCCCTCTTTCCCTCTCGTATTCACTCACTCTCTCACGCATAGCCTACTCAACTGGGCTGCCATATGTCACTGGGCTGCATGTTGAATAAAAGCTGTACGTGTATCAAGATAAGACATATGTCACTGTACTGAATGTGGAATGTAAACTGTACGTGTATCCAGATAAGACATACGTCACTGGGCTGCATGTGGAATGTAAGCTGTACGTGTATTCAGATATATCTTATGTCACTGGACTGAATGCGGAATGTAAGATGTACGTGGATCAAATAAGTCATGCGTCACTGGGCTTCATGTGGAATGTAAGATGTACGTGTATGGAGATAAGTCATATGTCCCTTGCCTGGTTGTTGAATGTAAGCTGGACGTATATCCAGATAAGTCATATGTCACTGGTCTGCATGTTGAATGTGAACTGTACGTGTATCAAGATAATAAGTCACGAGTCACTTGGCTGCGTGCTGAATGTAAGTTAATATATAGTAAACAACTGCTTTCCCGAAATATTTTATATTACTCCTATTTCCCTTTCATTCACAATCCCATAGTAGTCATAGCATCTTTTATTATAGCAGCAAAATCTATACATATAGGATATATTAAGGATTTTACGAAAAGCCTTCCCCTCCACCAAATAGATGCGTTTTAACTAGTGACCTTATAACAACCATTGGCGAATCCTACATTTACGTGTTATGTTATAAGGGAAATTATTACTGCTTATACTGCACAATGATTATGCCACTAAACCTGGAGCCAAATTTATGCATGTATAACCTATTTCAATATTTCCATAAAAGATGGGTAGGTATTTTTTCTTGTTGTGATGTCAAATTCACAAATCACTGCAGTATCAATACAGAAAAAAACCTACATGACATCATCCTACTCATTGTTTTCATCACATAATTGGGACCTTTAGTAAAACTTCACAAGGTGCGATGGAAGGAGGTTCGTGTTGTGTGTCGTAACCGGTTCCACTATTGGTATGAGCACCAACCTTTGCGCATTTGCAGATACCTGTAGACGGGAGTCAAGTTAAAGATAATCGTATCTCCATCGTTGAAGAATTCGAACTGAACCCAAAGCCATCTTACAATCGTGCAAAGATCGGTTTGTGCAAGTGGAATAGGACAGTTGTATGGTGGCTCTAAAGTTGATCTTCGGCGCCTAAAATCGCTTGTAACTAAGATTGCTCTGTACATGTGGGCCGACACAGAGCATAACGAAAGCGTGAAAGAACGGTATAAAGCCAAACTGTAGTGGCGTTAGCTGGAGACACGCCAGTCTGCGGTCTGTGTCGTGTTGGGAATCGGCGGTCCGGGTTACAGTTCGTCTCCCAGGCCTATCCTTATGGATATTTTGCCATTGTGGATGCGCCTGTTTTTACATATAGTGCCCTATGGCGGATTGTATGTACCTTCACAATGAATTCCAATAGGCCCATTGGACTCTCCAACATCAGAAAGATGAATAGAGACTTGTAACATATTAATAGACTTTATGATTGAGTGTGTGAGTTGTTATTAACGCCACTTGGAAGAGTATTTCAGCTACAATCCGGCGTGTAAGCTTCTTGTGTTCAGAAAACCCAAAGTGATGCAGGTCTCAGACAATTGCCTCTGTGGTGAAACACACAAGAAACATAAGACCAGAAACATAATCAGGGTGAATCTTGGATTTCGAACCGTCGATCAGCGGTCTCCGGTGCAACAAAGGTTCACAACTCTGCATAGCGAATAGCGGCATACAGACGAAAGACGTCGTGATGAGTTAATTTACAGTTCAAAGCGTCATTAACTCATTGAAATAATGAGATGAAAGATAAATATTGAGCACATGGAGTTTATTTACTCATATTGTTGTCAACTAGATCTCGCGGTGTAGGTCAGTCTGTTTATGCCACTGCGTAAAAGAAAATAGGAATATCAGTTAAAAAGTATGTGTCAGTGTATCTTGTTTACAAAACAACCCCACATCACATTTATATGATCACTTTGATTGTGGATTCCACAATTGTAAAGATAGTTTTATGTTTACGTTTTTGAAACAAAGAAATTGGTTAAATAATATTTAAGACTTGAATTTATGGGCACTTCTATACAAATATACTTGTATTACCAGATCCATATTGTTTACTAGTATATGTGCGAAGCTCACCTGGCGATGATGTGAAGGACATGTAGAAACCTTCCCTTTGCACGGAGCCGTCAGATGTGAAGGTGATCACAAAGGTTCCATCAGATTCTGAGCAGCAATAAACATAAAGTTACTGGAAGTACTAATACAGGTTTTACAGAAAAAAATTCATATGTGAATGTATGCTAGCTTTAGGTTTTTATTTTTAATCTTAAAATACTTCAAAGTAACTAAAACTGTTTCTATTTTAGTGTTTCTTGTTCATCAGAAATGAACGGAAAGCAGAAATGATAAACATGTAACCGAAATTATAGAGGTGGAAAGTGAGCTACACTCACGGTATGTCTTGCTGCCGGGGTTGCTTCCACACAGTCTGTCTTCGCCCATGGTAACGGCGTCGTACATGCATCTGCTTGCACTCTCAATGTCAAATTCCTCGAAGGTGAAGTGGAGTTCAGCTGGCGTGGGAGTGTTGATGGTGTATGTGCATGCCATGTTGGGACTGTAGCCACCAGGGGGAGTTGCGAATGACCCGGATGTACCATTGATCACAGCATTACAGTACTCTGAATTCGATAAAAAGGCAGAACATCCTAAAAGTAGTTTCATGTCCTTAGTTTTGTGTCATTGACCACACGAAACTGAGCTTGGGATCGTTGGATCAAACAAGTGTCTCTCCTGTTAATGAGGGCTTGGGGTTATTAAAAGTGCAATGCCAAGGAGGAAAGCAGAATAATGCTTGTGAGGTGATATTCGCCTGTTTGGCTGAGATGAAATCAACTTGAAACTTGGTCCCAACAATTCATTTTAAAATGATCAGAGTATTTGTTCATCTGAATTGTCTCTGGGGCATGATACAATGATAAATATACGTTAATGTAAACAGTTTATTAATAACCACTGATTAGGTATGTGATGCGAAGGTTGTACTTGCCTACTTCAGTCTGGTAGTCGAATGCGAAACCGAGACCCGAAACACTCGAATCACTGACGAATGTCATGGCGAGGAGTGGTTCTGCGTTAGAGTCTGGATTATAGAAATCTTTATCAGATAACAGAGGAGTTGAATTTATAAAAGTGATGTGAAAATTTTTGTTTCTGTCATCTCAAGTATACCAATATCAGAGCGGGGGACACAAATATGCAGAAACTAAAAGGCGATTTCAGAAGACACATGCATAAATGTACTAATGTACCTGTGTTAACATTGATATTAACACTTGCAGTGAGCTTACATTGCTTCACGAAGGGACTTCTGTTGTTTCCACATAGTGTGTCGATGGTGTTGTTTCCAAGCCTCACTGACAGGCTGTCGTAACGACAGTTGCTATTATATTCAACATCAAAGCGTGTGAAATTGATCGTGGTCACGTGGGGAAGAGCAGGTGAATATAGATTGATGCGGCACTCTTCGTTGTTTGCGTAGAAACCATCAATATCAGTTGCCAGAGATATTCTGCCTTCGAGGGAGGCAGTGTCGTAGTTGCAGGCTGCAATGAGAGATGGGAACTTGCATCATTATACACGTTTGCCAACTCTCAAATGAAGTAACTTTGGGGACAAACTCTTGCTCTGGTCATCTATGTTTTCCTTGGGCTTTTCCACTAAATAAAGTTGACGTCATGCATGTAACAGCACAACTGAAGGCAGAACTGCGAGTTTCTTTCCTCTAAAAATAACACATGAGTCACAATGTGTGGGATATATTGACAAGGCCCAAATCCTGTGTCATAAATATGGAAATTATTATGAAAGTATAAATAATTATAAAAACACACAAAAAACCGTTTACATGACTCACGGGTTGTTTATGATCATAATAGTATTGTCCTGGAACCGTATGACTTCAAGGTTCCATAAAGAACCATACTCTGATCAAGGAATTAAACTTTGTCCCGTGTTTGTAGGAAAATGCAAATAATATGCATTTAGAAAATCATAACATAGCGGGTGGCTTTTGTTCAACAATTCATTCCTTTTAATATTTCAGTTGCTGAAACCAAATTCCTCTTCATCTTATAAGCGACGTGAACGAACATATTTACAAGATCCCACTGCCCCCATCAACTATCTATTTAACAGCTAAATGTGTCCATCAAAGCTCCACATATTGAGACTATAAATTTCCTTTACCCATGAAGGCTTTATTTGTGTGTAAGAAGACAATGACCTACCATTTGTTGTTTCGTCGGAAGGTTCCACGGTTGTGTTGCTTTGTGCGACTGTCGTGTTGCTTGGTGCGACTGTCGTGTTTCCTGGTGCGGCTGTCGTGTTGCCTGGTGCGACTGTCGTGTTGCCTGGTGCGACTGTCGTGTTGCCTGGTACGACGGTCGTGTTGCTTGGTGCGACGGTCGTGTTGCCTGGTGCGACGGTCGTGTTGCCTGGTGCGACGGTGGTGTTGCTTGGTGCGACGGTCGTGTTGCCTGGTGCGACGGTCGTGTTGCTTGGTGCGACGGTCGTGTTGCCTGGTGCGACGGTCGTGTTGCCTGGTGCGACGGTCGTGTTGGCTGGTGCGACGGTCGTGTTGCCTGGTGCGACTGTCGTGTTGGCTGGTGCGACTGTTGTGTTCGGAGATGTTCCATTTTCTTAAGTAAAGTAAAATGTAAAGGGAAAACGACTCAATAATAACTTGTGTGTGAATACATACACACAGTTATGATTCATGAGATGACAAAACACATATCTTAAATGATCTTCGTATTCAGAAGTTTGTTATTAAATGGTAAATCTTCTGACAACGTTTTGACGAACTCACGAACTCGATCATATATCTTTTTCATAGCCAGCCATTCAGAAGTGTATCGTACCCATCCTGATGTTGAAGCGAGCCACAAAACCTCTGCTTGTCACTGAACCGTCGGTGACAAATCTCAGCACAACCTCACCAGTTCCGTTCACTGTAACAGAAACAGTGGAACCTATTGACAAGAGAGCCCAATTCAAAATAAATATCTGGTGAAGGTTTTGATTTCATGTAGTGCGTTACTACAACGTTGAACTCTCATTTGATATCGACCACTTCTCTGAGCTTACCTTGCCTCCCGTTAATTGTACTTCCACACCATCTTCGTCCACCATTGATCTGAACATAATCGTAGGGACATCCATTACCGCCCTCGAGGTCGAAGGTGGTGAAGTTGAAGTGAATACTGCTGTTCCTGGGCACATTGAAGACGTAGCTGCAGTTGAGGTTGTTCTGGTAGTCCTCCCCTGTACCAGGCAGGCTCTGGATCATGCCTTGGTCAGCAAGGGTAGAGAAGGTGCAGTTGCGATGGCTCCTGGGAACACCCCCTTAAACACAAAGATAGGCTTCTATCAGGGGAAGACAGCTCAATAGTCTTGTAGCATGTATGTTTGCATGTTGTCATTCAATGCATGGGACATGGACGACGACATCTCGTCAATTCAGAATACAGTCATATCATAAATTACTCGAAATAAGTCTGATGTATTCATAAAAATCCGTACAAAGAGGGAAATATAGCATGGCCTAGGACATACATAACCGAATCTCACTGTGAAATGTTGGACTTCCTCATACATGTATATAATATCTGTGTGAAATGTAGACAAGTCGTAGGCATCCCCATGGGTACCAGTTGTCCTCGAAATTACCTCATCTGTTTTTTATGCATACGAGTCAGGATTTATGCTCGGATTGGCAAAATGAAAACACGGAAATTTGGCCAAAAAGTATAACTTACGCTTCAGGTATATGAATGATCTCATATCTTTGAATATTTGTCAAATAACCAATTACCTTCCACTGATTTGCTCACCTGAGCCGGAAATAATAGATACCAGTGAAACCACTACATCTGTTTCATATTTAGATATATGCATAATAATTCAGTATTCACAATACTACGATACGAGCGAGCAATATTACAATGTTTATCTCCATTTCACAATCAAGCATCCTTTTTCTCCTAAGATTTCGAAGAGCGTCATACGACTCTTGCTCAAAGGTTGTTTTTTTCAGGGTTAATACAGTCATGGCATCAGTAAAACTTTCAAAATATTTATGGTAGGATATCTAAAAAAATGATGTATGATGCAATTCCTTATTTCATTTGTATCATATGTACCTGTTTGTTTCAGATGAGCATATGACTTGTCTTTGCATGTGTTTGTGATGGTGTCAGTCGGTTACGCTCATCTGTTCGTTAACACCTAGTATCCTCACTATTTGGAAGTGGTTAATAAAACATGCTTATGATATGATCGGAATCTCAGAATGGACTTATCGTTATGGAAAAGCCCTTTTTTCATTCAAATAAATATTCAAATGCTATCCTGTCCGCTCTGTGGTTCAACGTTCTACTTAAACCTACTGACGAAAAGCTGGTCGGGAAGAGTAGTTGTCACGATTTGTGTCTTCATTTTCGATGAGACAAAGTTCAGTGAAAACGGAAAAGTTTCTTGTTTCATATATAGCCTTTAAAATCAACTATGAAACTATATTTACGAGATTCATTTCCGGTGGTTTCGGGAGAAGATGTTGCATTGTTGTAGGGAAAGGTAAAATTCGGTGAAGACGAGTTTGTCACGTTCAAGGACGGAGTGGTGCTGTAATTCAGGGAAGGCGAGGCTGTCACGTTCAAGGACGGAGTGGTGCTGTAGTTCAGGGAAGGCGAGGCTGTCACGTTCAAGGACGGAGCGGTGCTGTAGTTCAGGGAAGGCGAGGCTGTCACGTTCAAGGACGGAGCGGTGCTGTAGTTCAGGGAAGGCGAGGCTGTCCCGTTCAAGGACGGAGCGGTGCTGTAGTTCAGGGAAGTCGAGGCTGTCACGTTCAAGGACGGAGCGGTGCTGTAGTTCAGGGAAGGCGAGGCTGTCACGTTCAAGGATGGAGTGGTGCTGTAGTTTAAGGCTGGCAGAGAACTATTTTCTTCAGATACTGTATCCATGAAAACAAATTTAGAATATGTTGGAATTTGACGTCATACCTTTTGCATACAGAAAAACGATGGAAGTTGAAATTTGTTTTGCGTTCTTAAACCAATACAGTATGTACACACCTGGGAGAGTGATATATAAGACATTGATGCCACGACCAACAATAGAGGCGTCACTATGGAAACACAACTGGAAACTGTCCGTACTGTTGACTGAAAAACCAACATGGTACAATCATTCATTATTAAGTAAGTTGCTGATTGGAGTATAAAACAAGATGTCTATTTAGTATTGTTGCGATGGTGAGTCTTTCAGCACATCACAAACAGGTAGATTGATAGGTCTGTGTAAGGTTTCTATATCTGAATAAGGTATTGTTGATAAACAAGTATTTCTATATGGTCATTTAAAAAACAATTTGACGGATTAGTACTTTGAGCATATAAATATAAAACGTATATCGTAATAGTGTGCCACTGACTACTCGATGTGAATATTGTTGTATATCCTGGAGGTATACTGCCGCAACGTGTTGCGTTCACAACGGAGTCAAGCTGGTGAATTCTAACACTTTGCAAAACAAAGAATTGAAAAGAAAACCCAAAGAAAATATATTCTTCCTTACACGATCTAATGTATCCGAAATCCTTCGTGCCACAGTCGATCTCGGTAATACCGTCACTTGTTCCATAGGTAACATAGTCATAACTGCAGCGAGGACCTTGCTCAATGTCAAAGACACTAAACTCCAGATCGACCGTGAAAGAACCGCCAAAGTAAGGACGGAGCTCGAAGCAGCAGTCTTCGTTGTTTTGGTATTGACCAGAGCCAAACTCTATCTCTCCAATGAGATCTTCCCTCACGCCCCCAACACATCCTGAACATCATGGAAGATTATGTGAACACATTTTAATAAACGGACTGAACATATATGTTATCAAAATATGTGCAGGTTTTCATGTAGATCTTAGTTCTCGTTGTACCTCTCTTTCAACTGCAAGTTCGGTCCTCAGGTAAAATACCCATGAATGATAGGTCCCTGTTGAACGATATCATAAACACATTCATGTATATTCACTTGATGTATTATTAGAGGTACATATTGTATTCATCAAAATATCATCAGACTTCAAACTATGAACTCATTGATCAAAACTCAATGAAATATATACACCTTGAAATCATTTAAATATTCATATACTTTTTTTCATTTTCATTTTTATTTGTGTGAAATAACCACATTGAAATGTAGAAACCGGAATCGGTTAACTAATGACGCTTTGTAACTGTTAACATAGATTTTGGACCACTTTTTCAAATACTTCCTCAGCTTCTTTGCATCACATAATACGACTTGCGACCGTCAGAAGAAAAATGCAGTGTTCTTGTCCCAACTGTTCAACAGGTACATATTTATCAAAACTCGATCAATGTTATACGTAGATAAGTCCAAACTGTTCGGGATATCTGATGGCGTTTCATATTTAGCTGCGTTTTCATTTTTTAGCCCGTTAAAGCTGTGAACTTACTACTTCCAGCTTGTCGCTTGAACCGTGCTTTCTCATTCTGTTGGAGAAAAATAATATATATTGACTGTGAAGCCTCCATAAAGATATGGTTTGTATATTCAACGGCTTTTTGATAACCTCAGTATGATCTCATGACACTGCAAAATATCACTCCATAAAAAATCGCTTTAAAAGTTTTAACAACCCAGAATTCTTGATCTTTTTAGCCGAACACGACTTATAAACTATACATAACATAAGTGTGAACAATGACATTACGTGTCTCGTTCTGCAATAGAGGTCTAGATTATCTACTTAAAAGAAGTTAAGTAACATCCAATTCTTTTATATTTCTACAATTATTTATCGTTGCATGACAGAGTGGATATTTTGCTCTCTGTAACTGGCGTACTGTTGTTTGTCACTAAGAGTTGTAAGCTATGAGTTGAATGACGACCAACTGCAGTTGTCCTGAAGTGGACAACTTAATGTCAGTTAATGTGTAAATCATGGCATTCGGTACAACGTTAGATAAGTTGCCGTGTACTACACTTACTTTGAATGCTCTTCCTTCTGTGGAGGCCAGACAGAGGCAAACCACCAGCAAGCTGATCACTGCACGTGGAGACATCTTGATGTACTGTGTACCTCCAGACAATTGCTGAACTTATATAGTCTCCGAGCTTCAAGAAATTAAAGATGCATGTTGATTTTCAGTAACGTCGATAATGTGGGTAGCGTCCGACATTCTGGAACAGTGCTAATTGTGTGACCTCCCACTGGAAATCCGATTGCACATCTACCAACCGGACCATCTGCAGAATTTGATATCACAGACGCTGATGGTCAGTATTGACATATCATTACTCTACAGATATTGATACGCTCGTATGTTGAAGATTTTCACAATCAGCAAAAATATCACGTGGTAACTACGTGATAACCTCGTGTTAAGTAAAAGTTTGTTCTACAAGGCTGTAGGCGTACCTGGTCTAGAGACGACAAACAGCTGGAAGAAAGACGTGCCCTCCTTCTGTTGATTGCAAAAAACAGATGTGCGAAGAAGGGTGTTATGTTTCTAATGTTTTCCCAAATGTTTTCGTTTAAGGTTTTACACATTGCAGCCGGGGTTGTGTTGTGTCTTCTAGCATGTCTGATTAATGTTCATGATATATACTAGTATGTCGAAAAGTTATTATTGATAACTGAAAAGTAAAACTTTCTTATGTTTTTCTTCGACTGTGTACACATGTAAAGAAAACGATTACTTAATGTAACTGGACATAATGGAAAGCCTGACCGACAGTCACTTATTATGTCTTTGTATGTCATGTGCTATGTTTATGGTGGGACACGTGGTTCTGTTGGGTGTTTCAACAGGCCTACAGTTCCAACAGGACGGCAGCGAACATATGGGGTATCACTCCCCACTCACCACTCATAGAGGAAAGACTGTTTGTTGGAGGAAAATTTGCTGTGCAAGATATCCCAAGTCAGTATTGTTAAACTCTTTGTTCCTGCAAGTATGAAGTATGGCTTTGGTTATGTTTACATTTATATTTCAGACAACGCTGACGTTCGTACTTGATATACCAATATGGACGAAAAGGTATAAGACGTGTTACAACCCTTAATGTAAAAATTACTCTTAATGTAAAAAAAATACATTAATGGTTACGGGTTCACCCTTGTTAAAACTCTTAATGTAAAAAAATACTTTTACATTAAGGGTTGAAATGGTAGATAATATTTTTTTAACATTAAGGGTTATCACTATGAAATAATTCTTATCGAACTTTCATGAAACTTCGCAGATTTAATTGATCGTTACTTTGTCTAGATATGCAAATGACTAATAATTTTTCCAACTCTACAACGACCTCCTGGTTGTTATATTCAGGCTTCATAACCGATTTGTATCAAACTTACTAATAACAAAGGTTATTTTTCGATATTCTGCAAGGTAACCTCGTGACTATCCTAATACCGTAACGACGGAAAGGAGGACTCAGCCCAAGCAGATCAGACCAAGTTGTAGATGATGGTTGGTTGTTAGAATGGTCCATTAACAGAGTTTTAGGCATAAAATAATGGACATTTTCTTACAGTATTACGGATATGACAGTTAAGCATACACCAGAATCAAATGTTATTACAAACGACTGGAATTCCAATGCAATGGTGTTTGGTTAAAATAAGAAACCGTAGGTTTCCCAAGTACCGTGCCGAGTCAAATATAGCCACTTAAAAGTTATATTTTTCGGATAGAGTTTCTATAGCAGTTAAGCATATCTTCTAGTAAGACCATTGTTGATTGAAAATAGTGAAAAAGAAGAATTAGGCATACGGCCTGTAGGGTAATTTCATGTCAGTTAGGAACCGACCATTCGATCTTCTGGGGGAGCTGACATATAAGCTATAAAAAATAATTTTTACATTAAGGGTTGCGGGTTTTTACTCTTAATGAATTTTTTTTTTACATTAAGATTTAACGCGGAACCCTTAATGTAAAGGCGCCACAAGTTGCTGTGAAGAGTTGCGTTCCTTATTTGTTCCAGGCTCAGCTGGTTGTAGTTCGAATCCCAGATTCGCCCTGAGTATAAGCTTTGGCCTGTCCGCACAATGTCTCTGATGGTTTAAGCGAAATGCCTCCCTTCGGTCTTTCCATCCTCGTCAGGCTAACCCGTCTGGAAACACTTTTCAATGGAGCCCTAAATCTAGCTCACTGATTGATATTGTAATACAACTGGAACTGGTGTCCACATTTCTAGTTATTTTTATAAGTAAGAACCAAGGAGCATGTCGCTTCTTAACGTATTTTCAAAATAAATAGAATTACTTGTAGTGTACATGGACGAAACTGAACGAGCCATACGTGCTTACACCAAGTATTACTCATACCCATGGGTTGAGACACAATATTGTAAGTGAAATGTTTTCTACAATACATAACGCGTTGAATATACAACACTGTATCATTAAGTTATTTAGGAATTATTTGTAAACATAAGAATAGGTACTGAAAGATAAATTGATAACAAATAATATTGGCTGAGTAATTTATACCTGTCCAAACTGAAACTGCATAGGTCGTGCGTGATATTCGTCTTCATCGGCGTTCCGACAACAGTTCACATATTCTTCCTGTTTTATGAGTAAGTGAGTGATTGTGATTTTACGCCACTTTTAGCAATATTCCAGCAATATCACGGCGGGGGACACCAGAAATGGGCTTCACACATTGTGCCCATGTAGGGAATCGAACCCGGGTCTTCAGCGTCGCGAGCGAACGCTTTAACCACGAGGCTACCCCCCTCCCCCCCCCCCCCCCCTGGTTCATGAAATAGCATCATACACATACAGTGGGTCTGCTAATTATGGTATTTTTGTTACACCAGGATATGATGCATAGTAGTTATTTATCAAAATCGAAATGTTTTTGTGAACCCGGAATACGTCTATTTACAGGCGGTTTGTGCATGTTCTCTCCATTGGTTACTTTGTGCCATCTCCATGGTATAACAACGGGTAGCCACTGAAGAAAAACACTGTGTTATGACTTAAAGATATTATATTGTCGAAAAAGTCCCAATAACCAGGATTAATTGACGTGAATAATGTGGGTTATTTCAGAATATCGCTTTGGTGGAACCCGCGAGCACAGAGATGCGTCACAGAGACCAAGGGTCAGAATCGGAGGTCATCCAGGGTTGGAACTTACGATCAGTGGATCCATCTTATGATGAAAGTATAGCGTCGACCACTTGTCCACGCGCACCCCTTCTCACATGGAACATATATTAGTTTTCATCATACTATGTACATTTGACATGGGCCGCCTCCGCGGTCTAGTGGATAGAGTATCCGCCCGGTATTCATGTCAAACAGCGAAATGGTATTCAGTGGGATAGCACTATGAAGTCGGCATTAGTCCTGGCTAGTACAAGCATCCACACAAACACACACACGTGCATGTACGTCGCTATATCAGTGCAATAATCACATGTCTGACATGACATTGTGTTTCTTTTGCCAAAGACCATTAACAACATTTCAAGTCGATACAGCTTATTGGTTAAGAGTTAACAATATTCAAGACACATGTTGTTTTATGTATCTTAATCCAAGTAATTCTGACCCGGACGCCAGGGTCAAAGGCAGCCATCAACGCGGAACTCAAGCAGGAAATACCAATGCTTTCATCTGAAATAATACGTGATCGTGTCGTTCAGTTCGCTATCGGTAACTGTTAAGTTTTACGACGATGATATTTTAACATTTTCAGTTGTCTAAGCATGAATCAAACAAATAGTCGATGCACTTACTGGTATTCTGCACTATGCAGGCTCAGATAAGAACCCAATGACCACGAAGGTTATTCAGTTTGTATTAAAGGTTAATTGTATGACAATGTACCAAATGATCTGTCCCCAATATCTAGAAAACAAATTGATTTACTCTCACTTTACTCTCATAGTTTAGTTCAGCTGGAATTGGTTGGGGAAGGGCACCGTAGCCCATATACAGGCAAACTGTGTCTGAAGTGTGTGACAGATGAAGCATCGGGTAATTACTAGAGTTCACATTATAGAGTAGTGGCCAGACCCTCATACCCCTCCCCATAGTAGAACATAGCAAACTTAGATTTTCCTTATGTTTTTGTATGTTTTTGTACTAGAAAATGGTGGTTGTGGTCAAATGGGTTGGTGGCAGATACAGTCAAAATGCACTTTTCTGTTGTAAAAATGGAGAAAACCCAAACATAGTCCCACTGAAGTCTAGTAGACTGGAATTATTATTATTTGTTAAAATATAGCCTCTCGCAAATTGAGTTATTAGTAAAAATATTTTGCTCTATTTTCATTTTTCAACTATTGGAAAAAGAACCGAAATGAATTATTAGTATTATCATCCAAGCCATTTGATATCTCAAAATGAGCCGACACGCCTTATGATGAGATGGCAGTGTTCATATTACACATAATCGTTATGATTTAAAAAAAATAGTAACAAAATGTCAAAATGTGCATTTGTTGTATTCACATTGTTAATTTCATTAATAATGGATTTATACAACACATACCTATCACCGTTTGCAAATACCTTTTCTATATAGGATATTATTATATAAATCAATGATTATCTAAACCACCGAGGAAGGTCAATGTCACTTTGAAGGTCAAGTTCTAAATTAATACATAAATTCATAAAGATGCTACAAATGCACATACAACTATCATTACTGGTCCTGGGTATGCTTGGTAAAGATCTATAGAATATACGAGGAAACAAACTAAACATGTGCACAACCAGATCAAAATAACTGCTGCCCCTTAGAGAACATATATATTTACCTGTGAGAACAAGACAGTAACAAGATAACAAAGGTGGAAACAAGGGAAGCCAACAGTTAATTGGCTCTGATAGGTGATTAGCAATGGACAAATTGAACCGTATACAGTCTCCGAGCCAATGGCAGAGGCACCAGCAGCGCAAGTCCCAACCCCAGAGGATGTATATTCGAACTGTGTCCACCAATACATTGGATGTACCCTGAGATCCCTCAACATCTGACTCTATTGCTATTACCTATCAGTGCTAATTACCCCCTGCCTCCCGTTTGCCCCTTGT